AGTTTCGAGATCTTATTTGGGCAGCATTTAACCTCGAAAGCATGTAATATATTCTTTTATTCGGCACAGATCCTATTGTAATGCAAAAGACTCTCTGTCTAAAGAAGGCAATAAATATTTTATGCTTGATTGAAGCTAAGCTTGCACAGAAGAAAACTCGAAACTGGAGCCATTGTCAAAAGGCAATTACGCGCTAAAAGAAGTCATGGATTTTGCTAATTGATGGGAAATAACTGTGATTTATACTGTAAGATGGTCTGTGGTCATCAATGGCTCCATTGATTTACTCTTCCATGATTTTCAATAAACAAGCTAGGTTAGCTAAGCAACGGTGATTTTTTTTTAATTAAACCGGCAGGGCAACCATTGTCCCATGGTCATGCAATCTCCGCAATCGTTCGTCGTTATCCCCGTCAAAGCTTTTTGTGTATGCATGCAAGATGATAATATCCAGGAAAAAAGCTTAGTATAACTCGAAATTAGAACAAATGTAAAATATCAAAAATTGATGCTGGCGTATAGGTATAAAACGAATTACTTTTGTATTGCGAACTTTTTTTGAAATCCATGTGACTGATGCACAGCACAGATTCGTAATCATATTCAATGCTACAAGAGAAGCTTCAATAGCTTTGTAGTGTAAGATGCATCGAAACGTTTTCAAAATAGTTTTTGTAGGCCCACATCCATCCGAAAAACCGTTTTGAATATTTTTTAGGTTTAATAACCAATAGCAAATTACAAAACTCGTATACAGTCTCATCTTATCGCATTCAGTTGAATATTTCCTTGCTCCTATATATACTATAATGATTTTATTAGACTAATTTCTTAAGAACAGTGTTAACGATTTTTGATTTGTAATGCCGTGCTTCAAATATGAGCCACTTACTATGAGTCGAACTACGGAAAAACCGTGCCCCCATGAGGAAAAGCTGCCGTCAAGTGACAAGAGTCAGTATGTTTGCTTAAGGTTGTATAAACACTGCTATCGAAATAACACTGTATAACTAAGAATGTCAAATGCCATCTTCATTGTAGCAAAATCATGTCAAAACGACCAAATTGACTCTTTCAAGTTGACATATTGCAGCCCCCATGAATTTCCTCAATGAAGTAGCTTTTATTTCCATTTATAATGGARCTTTCGCCCTAAACTTTAATTTAAAATTTATTTCAGCTAATATTTTCTTCGAATTTGCAATCGATTGTTATACGATTTCGGAAATACAACCCATTGCTCAAATATTGTGCCTGTTCTGTATTACACTAAATTCATAGGGATACTGCGGAGATTGGGGAGAAATGAAAACCTGCAGGGATTCGCAAAGACCAAACACTTAGAAAGTGAAGTGCCATATTTGGCGCTTACAACCCGATCTTCAACTATTGGGAAGCTATTTTAATAAAATGGTCCTGAATTTGAAACAATTCGAGACAATCTAAAGAATACAAAGTAGATATTGCACACAGCTATGTTCAGATGTTGCCATCCACTGAAGCGGGAGCAATGCGGTTCATAGGAATGTCATTTTGCTGGGAATTTATCTCTCTTCGATTTATGCAAAGCAGACTGCAAATACATTTTCTGAACCGTTCGTCTCTAAGAGCGTATATAAAAGGGTTAGTACAAGAGTTTAAAACGTGCAAGACATGGGTCAAGGGGTGGAAAAATGGAGCTGCATTATCAAAGTCTTGTGTTAATGGAGTTGTTTCTGATGAAAAGGCAATAATGAGGTAGTAGATCAGGTTGGGCATCCAGCAAGCATAGAAAACAAGCGTCACTGTGATAAGAGACGTCGTTATTTTCTTGCCCGCTTTGAGAAGTGATCGTTCGGCGACATTTCCATTCCTGTCTTCGCTGGACCACCAAAGCTTTCCMACAATTCYACTGTACAGGACGATCATKATGAGWGATGGYASAATGCCACCCACGATYAGAAACAGAAGRGAGTCCACCTTGGMGCCATACGGGGCTTTAAAAAATACTTCACAAGACTTGGTAGGAGGGCTGTAAGCAAGAGACACCACCGTTGGAAGCCAAACCAGGAAGCCTATCAACCAGCATATTCCAATGACCACCTTGAGCCTCGTGTTGGAGAACCTTGGAGCAAGTGGCTT